GATGTTTAGTTTCAATATTAGGAAAAATTTCTTTACCATCCCTAGAACTATTTAAAAGACACATATCTGGTTCTTCGGGGCATGATTTAGTGTTGGACTTGGTAGTGCTAGATTAATGGTTGGACTTGAAGTCGTTAAAGGTCTTTTTCAACCTAAACAATTCTATGATTCTATTCTAAACAAGACCTACATAAGAAGATACTAAACTGATGAGATTTTTGGAGAGGTAAGAATAATTGGTGTCATAACAAAGTAGGTCATTCATCAAAATTTTTTTACTAACACTGACACAAGTGGACGTTTGTTTAAATTAAGATTGACTTATTGTTTACAAAAGGAAATAGATTTTGCATTACTTGGTATTTGTTTTTCATTCTGAATTGTTACTGAAGCTGTGTGATATTCCATATATGAAAACTCAAACGTTTAAAACAATGGTATATTTGAATCAATGGGACTGAAATTTCCGTTGTTGAATGTCTGTTTTTCTTACATTTCTTCTGTTTCATTTGTATAGATTTAAAGAAACTTGTTTATTCCATTCTAGGAAACATGGATAGTGAAAAAAAAACCCATCGTTTTCCAAGTTTAACCAAAAATAATCAAGAGAGACACATTTTTTTTTCGAAAAATATATAAATGAAATGCTTGTCCTTCAAATTAGGACACTGAACAAGCAAAGTTATCTTTTTTTTTATCTAGTCTTTTTTTAATCTAGTTGTAGTTAAAATAGATGAAAACATGTTCTATCATACTTTTTTTTTTTTTCCAAGATTGAATTGGCTAGCTGTGTTTCTGTCTTTGGCTAAAACTAAGAAAAGATAACTCTACTTTTCATTTGTACTACAAAACACAAGGTATATATCTGGGACCTAATTTTTAGTGGATATGCAGGGAAGGCAAAAGAGTGTGATGGAATATTATGCTTCTAAATGCTTAGCATAGCTTTTTTTTTTTTTTTAAATAACTCCATTGGATAGCGTTCGTGTAGGCTGAAATTCTGTCGCACCTAAATAACTGCAGCGTTCTTATTCCCAACCACTCATGGGGAAATAAAACACAGATGTTCAGTGCTGACTTCCCATGTTTATCTTAATCCATGTGAAAGAATGGCTGAGGGACTCTTTAGACAGATTTGTTTGCCATGACGAGAATGGCAACAGATCAAGGAAGAGTCCACTCATGGTAATAGTCTTTTTTCTTCTATTTCTGCTACATTTTAACCTCCAAAATCTCTCCTGTATTACTTCAAATTTGATGCCTGCTCTCCACAAGTGAAGGAAAGGCAAATCTAATGCATGGTGAAATAGAAACATTGGATTCTAGCTACAGGGCTTAACCAGACTCTGTCAGAGTGTTAGAGGGCAATTTTAATTTTTTTGTTTGTTTGACTTTCTGCTACTCATTATTTTTCTTCTTACTGCAAAATAACACAACATCCTTTGATCCCTGCAAAAATGCTGGTAGTGTGAAAGAGCCTCTCACACACAAACTAGCAATTTGTACTTCTCATAACTGTCAAATTAACGTTCTCCCTTATCTCTGGAATAAAGTTGCTGCAGAGTTGTGTGCAGCAACTGAAGCATGTTTTTGTGTTAAATGAGGCTAAGATTATTCGGTCAGTTCGTCTAATTAGTTCTGAGCTACAAGTTCTCAGTATTAGTTCTAAGGCTTATGTGTTTCAGAAGAAACAAGAGATGGAAACACAGTAGAAGAGTTATAGGTAGTGATATTGGAAACATAGAGAATTTAAAGAAATGATTGGAGAAAGGTTGCCCACAGAAGTCATGGATGCCCCATCATTGGACACATTCAAGGTCAGGCTGGATGGGACTTTCAGCAACCTGTTTTAGTTTCTCTCTTTCCATGGCAGGAGGTTGGACTAGATGGTCTTTGAAGATCCCTTCCAACCCATCGCTGGAAACATTCCCAGTCAGGTTGGACGGGGCTCTGAGGAACTTGATCTAGTCGAAGATGTCGCTGCTCATTGCAGACGGGTTGTACTAGATGACCTTTAAAGGCCCTTTCCAAACCAAACTATTGTGTGATTCTATGATTCCATGGTAAAAGCTGAATATGGCTGTAGATTTTTATCCAGAGAATACTCCTTTCTCTGTGCAGCAGTTTCAGTGAGATGCATGCATGTCTGTATTAAGAATTCATTAAAAAGCAGGAATAGAAATGGCTAAATATTATGACACTGAATGGAGTAAGGAGATTTTATTTTTTCACACTGCTATTTGAATATATCTATCTCAAGAATTATCTGAGGCTTATAGTGGGTCGGTGGTATATCAGATCCTTTGTCTAGTTCGGTACAAATTTTTGTGAGCTTTGTTTGCGTCATCAATTACTGTTTTGAACACACAAAATCTCATAGTTGTTACCCTTTCATTAGAGAAAAGGAGAAAATCCTAACATTAAAAACTTTAGAAGCCTTACTTTAGACTAAAATCAAATTGATGCAGTCATCAGTCCCAAACATTTGAGTTCTTTAAAGCCTGGCTGCATTTTATTCAGGCAGCAAGGGGTATAGTGCAAAGTTCACCATTGTAAGGAACCATGGCCATAGCTTTTCAAAAGAATGGACTTGATTTCACTGCGTAAAGGATTTTTGTTTGGCTGAAGGAAATCACCAATTGTGATATGTTCTTGGTTTACGTTGATGTCTTGATTAGTCTGGAAAAGGGAGCATTTTACTTCCAAACACAAATGCCACAGGGAGAAAAATAAAATCCCTAGAATAGCACAGTATCGTGTGTCTTGTTGCACTGAGGATGGTAGAAGCCACCCAGAAGCAATGAAAATGACAATGTAAAGAATTAATGTTTAAGTGCATTTCAGAAACATTCATTTTGCTTGCGTTTCCTCTCTGGTACTGCTACATATGATGTATGTTACCAGGACTGTAAAGAGACGACAGCTGTTTAAATTGTATAAAAGGCATGTTTTTCCTTCAAAACCTGCATTTATTTCTCTGGTTTTGATACTCATAACGTGGAGCTGATCGGTAAGCTTATGTAATCACAGTTTTTCGTTGACTCAGAAAGTATTTGTGTTGACTTTCTGGTAGAGAACAAGGACATCACAGAAGTACCAGTATATGCCTTTTTGGGTACTAGACTGAAATGTGACAAGAAGTGTTCTGCTTGAGGATTTCATTACATCAGTCTTGATTCATAAGGAGGAAGTCTCTGCTAATTATTTCTTGTTAGATTCAGTGCTTTACCCCTAAGTCAGCACACGGTTTATATCTTTCCTCAGTATTGGGTTTTCTAACAAATTCGGTCATTCAAATGATTCTAAAACATTTATTACAGAGAGGTTGAACACTACCTAGTTCACAGACTACAAATAAACAGCATATTTATATATTGCTTTATGGAGCAAAAAGAAAACCTGTATAATTCAGTCATGGAACTGAATGGATTGATAAATGGATAATTAATGATCATTGACAACATACAGAGTTTTAAATGCTTTTACAGATTTTAAAGATGTTAAAAGTCCAGAATAAATGCATTTTTTCTTTCCTTTGGTCTTCCAACACCTGACATTGTGCAGTTAGGTAGGTGTACTGTGAAGTATTTTGTCTTTCTTTGAAACAACAATGAACTGACTACTTGAAGAATGGTAAACATTGGGTTGTGAATATCCGGCAAAAAGCAAAATCAGTGATACCTGATAAACTATTTTTTTCATGGTATTACTTTGATATCTGTTTAAAATCTGCTGAAACAAGTATAAAAGAGAAGCATAAACAGCAAAATAATTAAAGAACACTTAAACATAAGACTAAAATGGAACCTTTTTTCTGCTTTTTTAAGAAGAAATGGGGTTAAAATAAATGAAAACTTGGCATAGAGGAATTAATGAGTGACTGAAGTCAATAATGCTTTGCTTTCTGTCCAACCAACACCTTTATCAGATACAGTTTATTAAGTCTTCAAAGAAAGGATGAAAATTCAGTCATTATTACCCTGTTATTGTAAAACTATTATTATTGTCAAAGCTATTGTTGACTCTCTTTGAGGGACAGGAGGCCTTGCAGAGGGATCTAGATAGATTGAAGCATTGGACAGTGATTAATGAGATGAAATTTAACAAGCCAAAATTATGGAATCTGCACCTAGGACAGAGTAATGCCAGGTACAGATACAAGCTGGGAGAGAAGTGGTTGGAGAGCAGCCCTGCAGAAAAGGATCTAGGGGTGCTGGTCGGCATCGGGCTCAATGAGTCAGTAACATGCCCTGGCAGCCAAGAGGGCAAACCACATCCTGGGATGCATCAAACCAGCCAGTCAAAAAGAGGTGATTATCCCACTGTATTCAGCGTTGGTGTGGCCTCACCTTGAGTACCGTGTGCAGTTCTGGGCCCCACCATTTAAGAAGGATGTGAAGGTCCTTGAATGCATCCAGAGGAGGACAACAAAGCTGGTAAAAGGGCTGGAAGGAATGTCCTATGAGGATTAGCTAAGGACTTTGGGCTTCTCTAGTTTGGAGAAAAAGAGTCTGAGGAGCGACCTTATTGCTCTCTACTGCTTCTTGAGGAGGCGAAGTAGAGAGGGAGGTGCTGAGCTCTTCTGGCTGGTATCCAGAGATAGGATGCGTGGGAATAGTTCAAAGCTGCACCACAGGAGGTTCAGACTGGACATTAGGAAACGTTTCTTTACTGAGAGGGTGGTCAAACACTGCAACAGGCTTCCTAGAGAGGTAGTTGGTGCCCCATGTCAGTATTTAAGAGGCATTTGGAGAATCTTTAATAACATGCTTTAACTTTTGATCAGCCGTGAAGTGGTCAGGCAGTTGGACTAGATGATTGTTGTAGGACCTTCACAACTAAAATCACAGAATCACAGAACCACAGAATGTAAAATAGTCTAGTCCATCTCATTCTATTCTGTTTAACTACCATTTTCCTCTTCTTTCACTTATGAACATTATTTTTTCTATTAATTAAGCAATGTTTTGTTCTTCTTTTCTAAAATCTTGGTATTACAGAGTATTAAAGATAGCCTGGGGAGACTGCTGGGTCGTATAGACATTATTCACAACAAGAAGATACCGGCTTTGCAAAGTGCTACACCAAGGGAAGCAGCAAATATACAAGAAAAGCTAACTCAGCTTAATTTCCAATGGGAGAAAGTTAACAAGATGTACAGGGACCGACAGGCGTAAGTAACTTTTAAAAATTGTTATTTCTGATGACGTCTATTAGTATTTGGCTTACTGTTGGTGATTGTTTCTTAGTCTTCTTTTTGTGGAAATACCTTTTAAAGTTGCACATGATATTTTCTTGTAACTAAGAATAGAATGTTTATAGGGAATTGTAATTTAATTTATCAGCATTTTTGTAAAATTGAAAATAGACCAAAACCTGGCATGGTATCACATACATATTCCTGTGTCATTATAAATTACATACCTTTACCCTGTGATAGCATTAAGAATTTACACTTTTGTACCTATACAAAAGTGATTTAAAAACCTGAATCTGTGGTGAATGTATCACAGTAAAATCCCTTTTAATTGCAGAGGATTTACTAGTTTGAGGAGCAGTTCTCACATTTTGTCAAAGGAGCACAGCTAGAATCATTAACAACTCTAAATCCAATTTAATCTTTTTTTGAGTCTATATATTAGACATTATACAGCAAGGCAGGGCAATCAAGAGAAGTATAGAGAGGCATTAAAATTATAATAAATAAAGGTGTTATCTCCTACAATATCATATAATACTTATTATTATTTTTCTCCTCGTATGTTATTTGTGCTGTTTGTAATCTGGGAATCCTGTTATGATGCATAATGTAGCCAAACCTATTTTGTTAATTCAGACATGGCTCATATTAGTAACATAGAAGAGACTAGCAATACAGTGATTTATTTATATTTTGTAGTAGAGATCTGATTTTTAAAATTTGGAGAATTGCGCAATAAAATACTTAGGATTATGCTTACTCTTAATTTTTTTAGTTAGATGATGTATCAGATGTTACTGATAGTGATACAAAAATTTCCGTATTTTTGTGATTTATGGGATATACTTTTTTTTTTTATGCGAGTAATTTAAGAGTTAACAAATAAGTTGCCTTAAATAAAAAGTCATAGCTTCAAGCATTTATTGAATTACCACAGAAAAGTCCTTGATAATTATTCTGAGAATGTAAACTATTAATCTGATACTGAAATTTCTTATGTATATGACTAGTTCCATTCATTGAAATTTTCCATTCATAGGAATTTTACAGATTTGGGTCTTCAGACAATGCTGAAAACTTGACATTACAAATTTAATTTGATATGCTACCCCAAAAGACAATAGATCAAAATTTGCTAGAATATCCCTTTTTATACTACGCATATGTTTAGAAATGTTTATGTTCTCTTATCTCAGAAACTGTTCTTAAAACCATTATAGTCATTCTGAAAAAATTAATGTCCAAATAGTTATTGCATTGTATAAAAAGAAGAGATACAAATCTAAACATGTAAACAGTGATTAGAAGAAAAAGAATACTTCCCATGGGCTTAAGCTGCATTGATTTTGTCCTACAATCCAAGCCTTAGTAACTTTTGTGTTTTCTTTGTTTAGAAATATTGGTCAACAGCTGTTATGTTGCAGATTTATACAGATATATTATTTCCACTGTCAGCCAGTCACTAGCTTTTATTTTAGTTTGCTGGAGAGAGAGAAAGTTTAAAAAAGTAATAATCAGAGAAAACTACAGTAAAAAAAATAATTCAATAATCTTCACATCATCCGTTTTGTCTCAACATTTAAAGTGTAAGAAACTGAGACAGATTTATACTCTATTAAAGTTTCCATATTTACCCAAGCACAGTACTTTTTTAAAAAATAGTAAGCCTGATTCTGGTGTGGTAAGAAAGATTCTTCTGTTTCTCATGATGACATGTACAAAACTGAAGGCTAAGTTAGAAGCAGATACTGAAACCAAGCTGTTCACGCAGATAATAAAAGCTGGGGATACCAGGTTTGTGCTTCTCCCAGAGACTGGCTTTGCCCAGATTCTCACTGGTATAGTAGACCAAGCTCTGAGAAACCTTTAGAATCTCCCCATATGTGTTTTCTACCGCTGGTGCATAGCGAGGAGAATAATTTAGTGTTAGCAGAAAGCTTGGACCACCAGCACTGCCACTGAGTTATCCCTTATTTAGACTAGTGATATTTAGCCAGCAGCAGAAAGTATTCTGAGGTGAAATGAATTAATGTTTGTCAAGTATTTTGAGGTCATCAGATAAAGGCACTAGGGAAGTGTAATGTATGATTACACTTCAGCTGGCATTTGCCTGAGGGAGTCGTTTTCTTTTAGTATGATGGGCAGCAACTCAAGGTGATGATAAGTTTGACTGCTGTCTGGAATTGCACGCGTTTCTCTTTCTTTTAAGTCTTTTGTTTGTGGTGTCAGTCTTACTGTGTCACTGTTTCTGAGTTTCATTTGAACTCTGAAATGATCCCGATAGCTTCTGCAGTTTTATGAGGTGCATTTGGATTGCACAAGAATGCTAGAGAGGAGATGAAGGAAGACAATATGGCCTTTAGCATTTTGCTTCTAGCAGTTTGTGCCTGTAAGGGGTGAAAGTATCAGTGTAAGTCTGCCCTTGAGACATGGGTGAAGCTGTGTTTATGAGATATGCTATTGATGATGATGTTTTAGGACAGTTTTGGAATTATTACTGGAGCTCTGTCTTGTTTTGAAGCGAGTGTATCTAGGTGAATGTGAGTATTCCATAGAATCATAGAATGGTTAGGGCTGGAAGGGACCTTCAAAGGTCATCTAGTCCAACCCCTCTGCAAGGAACAGGGATATCTCCAACTAGATCAGTTTTCTCAGGGCCTCGTCCAACCTGGCCTTGAACGTCTCCAGGGATGAAGCATCCACCACCTCTCTGGGCAACCTGTTCCAGTGTTCTACAACTCTCATGGTAAAAAATTTTTTCCTAATATCCAACCTGAATCTACCTCCCTCTATTTTAAAACCATTACCCCTTGTCCTATCACAACTGGCCCTTCTGAACAGCCTCTCCCCATCTTTCTTGTAGGCCCCCTTGAGGTACTGGAAGACCACTATAAGGTCACCCCGGAGCCTCCTCTTCTCCAGGCTGAACAGCCCCAACTCTTTCAGCCTGTCCTCATAGGAAAGGTGCTCCAGCCCTCTTATCATCTTCGTGGCCCTCCTCTGGACTCTCTCCAACTGGTCCATGTCCTTCTTATGAACTGGACGCAATACTCCAAGTGAGATCTCATGAGGGCAGAGTAGATGCTTGAAAGGTTACAGAAACAACTATATTATACTATGTTCATTTCTGAATATTGGTTTTAGGAAGTCAAAAGGTTGTAATAACATGGAAATTATTATTTAAGTAAATGCAAAGTCAACTATCAGCATGAGAGATGGAAGAACAAAACAACTTTCCTTACCCCGGTAGTTACTAACAGAGAGCTTACTCTACATGTCATAGAAATCAACAGAAACATTCATGTTGAATTATTTTCTGTGAAATAGATTTCCTGGAAGTAGTCTTGATTCATATCTGGATACTTTATAATTAACTTTATAGTGAGCTCCTTTTAATTAGAAATCTTAACATATTTTCTGTTTGGTTTATGGCAGAACACATTCCAGTTTGACAGAAATTCACTGTGATTATAGATACTCAAATAGCTTTACAAGTCCAGTTCCACAGTATTTGAAAACCTTGTTGTTTCACATTGCTACTTTAACATGTTCTATATATTTGAATAAGTGTTTATACTGTACTTACTGCAAGATAACTAGCAATATTTCACTAAAAAAGTTTAAGCAAAAATGCTGTGATCAGCCTAGTGTACTCTTTCAGTTTTATTAGAAACCTAGAATGAATTAAAATTTTTACTCTTTTCACAAACTCATTGAAACGCTAGTCTTCAACTGACTAATTTTTTAAGTGAAGCCTAGATCTAGCATGATTCTTTAATAGGAGTTAGTTTCTTTTCTGTAAAAATTAATTTTAAAACATGGTAATTGGTTATGTTTCCAGCAGATATATGGAGGTCACACCATCTTATACCAAGTGAAATTTGTTTCTTTAGTTTTAGTTTTCTGAGGGCACAGCAAACTCCAGGAAACAGCTGCAGTTGCATGATTTGTCTTTTGTCAGCTAAGAAGTAATTTATAATTTCATTTATAACTTCAACCTTTGCTCTCATAATGCTAAATTTCTATGTTATCTTTTCTTATAGTCACATTAAGGTAATATAATCTGAATTTTGTAAGACAGAGTTACATTACAGTGCCAGTAAGAATAACTATTCAGATGCCATAGTTTTTCCTGTCCTTGTACTAGAATTTAACCATAGTTTCCCTTCTTTGCAGCAGCCTTAGATACTGTTTTTTTATATTAATCATTACTATTTAGGAAGTGACACTAACACCAGGTCCCTATATATCTTCAATGAGAACACATATAGTATTTGGAAAAAAAAAAATATTCAATAGATGATAGAAAATTTATAAATGATTGACTTCTTATATAAGTACTTATCAACTTACCATTTATGGAAGACGTTTTTCTCTTGTCAGGATATTGTCTTCTCAGGATATTTATATCTCAGTCTTCTTTCTGTGAACAACATGTACTCCCTAAAAGTATTTCTTTCTAACAGTGCCAGAAGTCATTGAATCAATAAAGTGTAACAAACTTTTCCAGAATAAGCCAACAATACATTAATTTTAAACATTTTTATAGCAATTGCAAATCACTCACAGAGAATATAAAAAAAAAATATAAGCACAAGACAGAAAAAATAGAAAATGCTCGAAAGAATACAATTTAAAAGCAAAATACTTAAATTTTACAGATACTGTAGACCTTGAACATTTTTGAAACTCTTTCTTGATCATGAGTTAAAATTCTAATAGATCCCTCCTATTAATTTCAGTTAACTAATTTTTGCCTTTTTCATATCTTATTTAAGAATTATCTTCCAGGGCATAGATTATAGACTAGATTAATGCTCTTTTAATTAATCTGAAATCTACTAAGACTTAAATGTTGTGAGAGAATGTGGGAAAGTTGATACCAGATATCTTTACAAAGTGTTTCTTGCTGATTCTGAAAAGAGGAAAAAAAGTGATATGCCAGTCTTATATCAGAAAAGATCTCAAATCTA